TCAATGTCCCAGAATACAGAATGAAAAGACCATATTGCGTTATCAACGCCAGTATAATTGTTCACGAAGGAACGCCCGGGCGGCCGTGCATCCATCGACTGCGAATGCTCGTGGATCTTATAGTACAGCAGTCCAAAAGTCAACCTATACTCAGAAACAAATTTACCGTCGTCCCTGTCAGGTTGCGTTCCAATATGATTCTATCGACGACCCGTGGGAACAACTTAGCACAATAAATCAAGCCATAGCCAGACAAAATAACATATTTTCGAAACTCTTACAAATTCTAGAAGGAAAAAACTTCTGATATAATATTAGACGTAGTGTGTTCACTCTGTTGGGTAGAGTCTCTTACCCAACAGAATGAACACACGACATCTAATATTATACCACAACACAGCATGACCTCCTGTGAGGTCCTTTCGGAACAGGAACATGAGACTCTCGATAACAATGAGCAAACGGAGCCGATGCGTATATCCCCAAGCGGCAAATGCAATCGGCATCCATCGAGACGGGGAGTATTGACAAAAACACCCCAGAAGGGACGACAGTTATAAAACGACATGGTCGCGGGGAGCCACTTGACCACACCACAGAGATTCCAACTAAATCAACCAAAAAATCCAAAAACAAAAACGAGAAGACCGGCAACAACCCAATACCTATGATCGCACAGACTCCAATCATCCATACACGCTCGCAACGTTCATGAGATTTTTACAATAGAACGCCAACAGTCTACAAATAAAATGGTACAGCTAAATGCCGATCGTATATGGGAGAATTATCACGTCATACTCATTCAAGAAACCTCGTTTCATCGAAATAGTCACATTAACCTACCCGGGTATACTGCCTTCCACACACGCCGCACCGGTACCACAGGAGGTGGTCTAACTACATACATTCATCAATCTACTCCGTGCTCATATGGGCAATCCCGAATATCAAAGGGACAGGGCGATCCAGAATGGCTTGTGGTAGAAATATACGTGCCACAGGCCATCCAGGTAATAAATGCCTACTTTCCTCCACATTCTCCGCCTGGATTAACCAGTTCCCTATCAGTGAAGGGATGATTGTAAGGGTTCTGCTGATTGGTGATGTTATGCAGGCATCTAATGATCAGATGTTGTTTCTGTACCTGAGAGACAAAGTGGTTGAGGAATTTAACTGCCTGTTCTTTCGGGGTAGTTAGTGTACAGTTGGCATGTCGCAGAATAAAGTGACTTGCGGGGAGTCGTTTATGTTGCGAAGGCGGCGGAGAATTCACCATATGTTGTTCTTGTACGAGGGAGAAGACGCCACGCGTTTCCAAAAAGCACGCTTCTGGGTAATGATACAGCGCTGTAGTTCCGCCGTGGCTTTTTTCGCTTAGATCCAATTATCACGATTGATGTGTCTTTGATATCGGTGGCAAGCTTTACGCTTGGATGCAAGCGCTCGTTGACAATCGGAGTTCCACCACGGGGGTTTAGGAGGTTGGGCACTCTGTCTGCTGTTCCTTCGCGTGGCAAGCGAGTCGTCGTGACGTTGAACGAGGTCATCGTATGTCCACTCATTATGTGCCGCCTAAGCGCCAAGGTATGCATGGCGTTATCAATATTCGTTGGAACGTTCCTATCAGTCCGTTTGTAAGTTTTGATTTTGGCATGTTTGGACGCGTGATAACCCGGAGTATTATTGTTACTGGGATGACTAGGTTCGTGAGGAAATATGAGAGGAAGGTCAACAGTTATCATACAGTGTTTACTTCCATAATCGTGGAAACAAGAGTCCCACGTTGTTTGGAGTGCGATGTCGGTTGTAATGAGTGTAAGGTCTATAGCGGTTCCTTGGACTGTTATCGTGTGCGTGGGACGCCCATCGTTTAAAAGAAGAAAGTGGGAGAGGCCAATGAGATCGGCCATAATACGGTCTCGTGTATCGGAGAAGCGATTGCCCCACATCACGTGATTGGCATTGAAGTCCCCACCCAATATGGTCGTCTGGTCTGGAAGATGTCGGAAAAAATCGTTGATTATCGCAATAAATAAAAGTCGGAACACGACTCCTCGGGCCGATGGCATCACGGCAAACATCCTAAAGGTTTTCGATAATCAGGCCAGGTGTCATCTACTGACTTTTTACAACATCATGTGGTCGTCGGGCAACATATCATCATCCTCCCCATTCATAAACAAGGGAAAGGTCCTACTATGGTGGAGAATTACTGACCAATAGCGCTCACTTCCACGGTCATGAAAACAATGGAATGAATGATCCTCTATAGAGGGCAACGCATAGCTACCCACAATAACTGGTTCAATTATAAACATTTTGGTGGCCTTCCCGGTAAAGGCACTCGGGATCTATTAACTCATCTTGTGATACAGGTATACACACTCCGGAATAAAGGTTACTATATCAACGTTACTACAGTCGATATTTGCAGTGCGTATGACAAGATCAGACACCCTCACATTATCCGGAAGGCTTTGGAAAAAGGTCTAAAAGGCAATTCAATACTCTGGCTACAAGACTTTTTGTCCAACAGGCAGGTACAGATTAAGTGGAAGGGCTGCCTCTCCCCAAGTAGTACCCTCAAAGAAGTGTGATATCTCCCTTCTCGTTTGCCATTTTCATGAACGATATCTTCCATCTAGAAAATGAATACACTAAAATCTACGTGTACGTGGACGATGTTACCGTCGTCACGCATGGTGATGACCCGACTCAATTGCATCATAACACGGTCCAGTTTTTAAACAAGTTCGACAGATGGACTCAAGAAAATTCAGTTCAATGCCAAACACAGAAGTGTGCTATCCTTCGCATACCCATAAACGTACAGTACGTGGCAACCAGAATTTCGCCCTCAACAATCAAAAAATCCCCGAAGTCTCCAAAATCAAACTTCTAGGCGTCTACATTACTGCTCGGCTAACGTGGAACACCCAAATTGAATATATTCAGAATAAGAGCAGAAAGCTTCCGAACATCTTTAAAATTTATTGTAACAAGAAATACGGCGGCCAGCCCAAGGACCTCTTGTGCATCGCCAATAGTACCATCGGTAGCTTACTCATTTATGTCGTTCCCAGTATCGCAACCTTAACAAAAACCCAGATGGCTACCTTGGAATCCTTACATGTGCAGTACGTTAAACTCAGCTTTGGTAATCCGCAGAGCGACCAACACTATGACCATAGCTTGCCGTTACTGGAAGTATGAAATAAAACACTATAGGTCCTATCTCAAGAAGGCATTATGGGATATCCTTTCTAGGAAAATCATCCACCTCATCCACAGCAATGGTGGTGCCGCCCTTGTGAAGATCTCTATAGTACACTTTATCCGGAACTGGACTCACACTCACAGTATTCCTACCGATAACCACATGACCCAAAGTTCCATTACCTCCAACGCCGTCGTCATCGACTCATATATCGATGACCTGCCGTTCCAAGACATCTCTCTATCAAACCCTCTTATTCAATCCCAGTGGACAACGACGCAAGATCTATCTACTTTCCTGGCCACAGACGGATCGAAAACAGTCACTACCGTCGCGGCAGCTTTCATCGACTACAACAAAATCAAAGCCCACTACACTCTTCATCCTGAGGCCACAATTTATACGGCGGAGAGTTATGCTATTCTCTGCGCGTTACAACATGCTACTAAGATAACCGTGTGCTCGAACTCTAGAGCGGTTCTAACTGATATCGACGCTCACCACGATAAGACTACATCTATCATTCACACTATCATCAGTTTCATCGACAGTCGCAACAGAAGAAATCTGCAGACGCGATTAGTGTGGACCCCAGTTCATAAAGGGATAGCGATAAAGAGCAAGCGGAAAACTTGTTAAGAGCCAGCCTCGCGACTAAGAAAACTCAATATCTTACTCCGGAGGACTACACCACTATTATAAACACTGAGATCAAGCATCATACGAACATCGAGTGGCATAACTACCCAAGACACACAGACTGTCATTGGCTCACCATCGACCGACCCATCCCCGTCACGGACTACACGGATCGTTACATTGCGTCCCGATTCATCGCGCCAGGACTAATTCCCTCATCAATAATTCCTTTCTCTATAAACGAAATCTGAAGAATACGGATCGCTGTAAATACTGCCCGAGAGAGAAAGATACTACGATACATCGGCTGGATAACTGTAATCAATTTGAACTCGTGCGCAAAAACTTACTAAACAATAACAGTCTCATTCGTCAAAAAGTTTTTAAGTTACGATAAGTGATTGTCTAAAATTTACGCCCATCGAGATTTGTATTCAGAGCGCGATCACTGTTTTCACCGTATACAAGCATACATATAAATACTAAGGTAAATATAACTTCCGCCATCTTTGACCACCACGGGGCGCAATAGTCCGCGTTACTCAAGCCCAACTACGAGAAAACGAGAAGAGATCCATGGGCATTGGGAACCATTTGTCTAACGGAAGAGACGAGCATCCACGTGATGAAAGTTAGCGAAGAACGTGCTGACTGCAAGCACCCCAGGTTTCGCGGTAAGAAAAATTAATCATTTCTAAACAATTTAATGCTTAAAATTTAAATCAGGCCCAAAAGACGATGCAGAACCAAAGTAACTTTTTAAGTACGAGTGTTAAATTACTATTATTTAAGTGCATTTTCAATAGTGTTTAAAAAAAGCATTCACCTGAACGAATTAGGTTATCATCGGGTATTTGGCCAATCTGTCTCGTGATATTTAGCATCCTTGGCTACGTCCGGCACACACTACAATTCCGGAAATCACGGACTAAAGAACACGTTGCGGACTCTCTGATCTGTACGGTTTTCAAAAATTGTCTCCCAGCGCCATCACCGGTATCGGGCGCAGCAATTTCCGGTTAATGTTACCTTAGGCTCCAAGATGGCGGCTCTTCCGGTAACCTCGACGGCATGCGCGTTTAGAAATGAAATGTAGATGGCGCTTATTATACTGACGGTTTCGTACGCAAATTTTCTTCAAAAATTTCTACTGGGAAAATATGAGGAATTATGCAAAGTTTGAGTTCGGTTACAGTGTAGACGGACGGTGCTATCGTTATCTTTTCGAATGGCGTTCGTGTTTTTTTAAAGTTTGTACAATTTTTTGTTTTTTTTAAAGTTAACGAGTAGGAAAATTTGGCCAATTGTTTTTACTGTTTATCTGTCGGTTGAAACTTGCCTTTCACGATGCATTCTACGCCGTTTTAGTTTTCCACTAACAAATACGTGACGTTCGACTGTTCGTGCTCCCGACGGACCTCCCGGAGGTTAGTGATTCATCCTTTACTGTTCCTGACCTAGGTGATGATATATTTGTATGCCGAGGTGGGCGAGCACCGCAGGTGCCGCCCGCTGAGGCTGCAGTTCCCCAAAGGCTTAAACTTATACTTGCACTCCAGGCGAATCCTGTTCGAACCACTGATGTATCCAATCTCGTAATTCACTACCTCCAGTTATGGATGGTTTTCAGGTAGCATGGTGACTTCTTTATTTTTCATCTTTGGTCTAAAAATAGGAAATGAAACCAAATGCAAGGGAAAAAGTAAGTATGAAAATTTGTTTATTGTTCGATTTGGTTATCATCGACGTTCGCCATCTTGTTTGCATATGTCCATGCGCAAACAAGATGGCGACCGCCACCATCTTGGAACCTAACATAACATTAACCCAATTTCTTAATATTAAGCTTATATAATTTTGTTTTTTAACATTGTGTGTACTTAATGTTACAAAATTAAAACTTGCCTTCAAGAAGGCATTCGAATTTGTTTTATTTAAAATTCGGATGTACCTTCATCCCATGACGATCAGCTGTAACTGATCTGTGCCGAGACAAGAATCTAGAGAACGGAACGACTTATCGTTCTGATTGGTTCTATTTTTGGGTGGTAGCCGCGGTGCTTGCAGATATTTCATTAAGCGTCAAACAGGCGAAAGTCGACATTTTCTTTTTTCATTATATCTTATCTCGGAATTAATTATATTTTCCAGAAATTATTTTATGCACATTCTACCGAGGATTTTGACACTAAAATCATCAAAATCTAACGCGGAATTTTTTTTAAAATTCCGAAACGAAACCGTAAAAGAGGTGAAAAAGCTGGCTTATTGCTCGCCCAGGCAATTAGAAAACCGAACGGGTTCCGGTTCCTTACAATTGGTGTCAATAATAATATTCGTAACTATTTCAAATGCAATTTTTATATTAAATTCCATGTTTTATTGGTTTTGAACTATTTACTTTCTAAACATTGCAGTTTCTCATAATATGAAAATTACTGCGCAGTACGAAAACGATTTTATTTTTATTTAATTTTTAATCATACAGAAGAAAGAGAGAAATGAAGTTAATGAACTGTTATAAATAAAATATAGTCTAAAATATGCAAATCTATAACACTAATGAAAAATTTGTGAAAGTATCCTACTGTACGGTATACATATCAACAGCTTTGGACGGCCGGATGGCCAGCGGTTAAAGTGGCAGCATACCAAGGACCTTGGCAGCATACCGCTCTGGGGGCCCGGGGTCAAAAATTCTCGGGAATTTTCGGGGGTTGGTCCGTCCGGATATATTGCGCACCGTCCCCCACCACCCGACCGCTCCATTATGAGCTTGCTAAAAAAAAGTCCCATAGGGCGGAGTGTTAAAAAAAATAACAACTGCTTTGTTTCGTATAATACGAATTAGCGAGTTTTTATTATATTTCACGATTATATTATTATACAGTATATTAATTAAAATTTACTTTTATTATGAAAATTCTTATTTAAATAATTCCCGAAATTTTTAAAAGAAAATATCGTTAGTGGCGCTGCGGTAGTCGGAAAGAGCACATGATTGTTTGGGAGTGAAACGTAATAGGCGTGTTTGATGTTTTAGATTAAATTTTGGAAATGGAATTGAGCAAGGAGACTTTAAATTCGATAGTATTACTTGGTGAACCAAGTGTAATTCCTGATAAGCAACTATCACAGATTTTGCAGGATGTGATAAGTGCAGTTTTGAATGGCACAAGGAATAGCGTGATGGAAGAACGTTACGAAGGAAACGGTTCGGTCAAATCGGCTTTTTTTGGTGCTTTGTGCTTTTTTCTAGAAGCAGCAAAACACAATACAGACGAAGCAACGTTAATTAGCACTCTGGAAGAATGTAAAGTCAAAACAGAACGAATATCTGAATTAGTAAACTTCTACAAGAAAGAGAAGAAACATTTACAGGCCCATTTAAATAGTCTAGGAAGTCATTTTCCGCATTTAGTCGACGTTGATTGGAGACACGATTATGTCATTAAAAGTGATTCTTTGGAAAAAGTCTGTCATCCTGTTTATATTATTGATTTAAAAACTGACACTAAAGAGCAAGTTACGTTCTCTTGTTCGATAGAAGAATTGCAAGATCTAGTTGGAAAATTAAAAGATGCTACTAAATGTTTAGAACATAATGTACATAATTGAAAATAGATGAAAACTTATCTCCTTTGTAATTATGGAAGCGAGTAGCACTTGTTATGAAATTGATTCTAATTCTATGACACAATTAAGTAATATACATTTCTAAGATAGACTTATTAGAAGTTCCATAAATATATATATTGTTTATTTTGATGTATTTTTTTATATGATCCTATCAAATTTGTAGAGTGTCGGACTGAAAATTTGATAAAAGATAGGATTTAGTATTTGTTCGAGAAAGGATGAAAAGGAATGAAAAATGGCCACGCGGTGAAATAGTTTGTTGTAATAAATAAAGATAAATTTGAATTTAATTCGTACTTCGTTTTATTATTATTAATATAATTTAGCCATTTAGTAATTATTCAGTTAGAGATTATGCTATTGCATTTCTGATAGAGATTATTTTAACTGTTATGGAAAAACTAATTGTAAGTTTTAAATTATTATACTGTTAATAGAATGTATAATGTATATAGAAATATCTGTCTGAAGGTAGCGGACGTGAAATGGGTTGCAATTATTTAGTGATCTTGTTGTGTTGTTATTTATTACGTTTGGCAGGGTTACGTTGATTAATGGAATGGTATGTGGTGCGATGAAAATAGGCATACTTTCGGCCTTAGACCACAGATATTCAAATATTTGCCGTGTCTATTTTCATTCGATACCAGGAAATGTGAAGAACGACGACTGCGAGATTGTACGTCAAGTATATGAAATTAGAAGACCAAGTTATACATTTCTAAAAGAATATAGGCTATATGAAAATAGAAGGTAGGTAATACTGTAAGAATATCCTTATTGAAATACAAATTTTGCAGTAATAGCATACAGTTTATTTTTCTGTCTGGGTACCTTGTGCAGTTATTTGGTTTGTTCTATGTGCTTCTCTTAAGCTTTAACTATTATTTTTCATTAGCTTATTCATAGTGGTGCAGTAACGATTTTTTGAGGCCCTGTGCGTGAAGTTGATCAATTAGTCTGACAACACAATTGTTGCAATGTAGAATCAATCTGGAAGGCTGAAGTGTGCATCCAATTTTAAGGTTTGTTTACACAATTTAATTACTGCTGACATTTTGTCCAACAAAAATAAGATTTAATTAAAATGCCTCAATTTCCTTTCTTACTAAAATATAAATTTTCGTCTACAAGTACGTATCTTCTAATATCAGGACTTATTATACTGGCTTTACAGATAATGCTACAGAGTTTCACAGTTTTCGACCGAATAGGAGCTGTACAGCTCCTATTCGGTCGAAAACCCAGGTATATTAAATAAAATAAAAAATTGTTTTCTGTGAAACTCTGTAGCATTATCTGTAAAGCCAGTATAATAAGTCTTGATATTAGAAGATACGTACTTGTAGACAAAAATTTGTCTACAGAAAAATTTTTTAAAAATAAGATTTGTCAATTCAAATGTCTATACATTGTACTGGATTGTGACTTTCAAATAAATTATTCTGACTTGTGAACAAGCACAAGAACATTCATTTCTCTCAAGAGTAATAAGAATATGATTTAACATACATGATTACAGTTTTGTTATTGAGTGGTTCACTGAACCAACAATGAGTAAAAATTCTGACAGATTAGATTTTCTGGAATATTGTGACTTGAACCAAGATCTTTAATAAGTCACAAGTTTGTTCAAAGGTGAATCCAGGCATATTGCAGTTTTGAGTGACAAAATATCATCAGTATTATCATTTAAACCAGCTTTTATACATATTCAGTTTTCAAACAACACTGTTACTAGAGTTCTGAAAAAGTGAAAAGTGGTCGCAATAGCTTGTACTTTGTATGTACACTAGGGATATGTTAGAAATGATTAGTTCAATGGATTGTAAAATAACACATTTCTCACAAAATAGATTCATTTAACCTTTGGGCTTTGCTAAACAGAATATGTATGAAAATACTCCTTGCAGCAACATATAGGGAAGGCAGTAGAAGAGACCTAGTGGATAAAAAATATGAATGAAGGAATTTCAAACTTAGATGAGCAAAGCAAAAAATAAGTCTCACAGGACATAGCTAGGGCTTAGAGTTTACCAAATTGGAGACTCCCCTGTAATTAGTAATCTGCCACTGCTTATCTAAAGTTGCTTTTCTGATGTACCCTGGCATAATTATTGCTCACGCTTGAAACACTCAATGGATTGATGGTATAAGGCGCACTCAGCCCTGGGCTGCATGAGGCCTGCTAGGTTCTAATATGTAGTCCCAGAGCTTTGGTAATGGTTTTATTTTCTTGTTTTTTGTCTCAGACCATGTAACCCTAATTAAGCTGATAGTCATGATGATGAACATTCAAACGAGACTTGTGAAAAGATGACAATAAATTATATATTACTAGAATATAATTGTAAGCTTCTTTCTTGCCTCAATAAATTAATTATCTCAAAACCAATTGTTAAAGATGTAAGAGGCAAAGTTACAGAAAAGTTTAAACTTTAATAATTTCAACTATTAAGGTGTATTTCATAAAAACTTAAACTCATCAATACACATTGCAAATTTTAATATTTTAAGTGAGAGAACATAAAGAGAATAAATATTAAAGAAACAACCAAACAACCTTAAAAAAACAAAATAATGAATTAAGAAATGAATTGAGTATAAAAAGTAGATTATGATATTGGCTTTAAGAACCAAATCCAGGAGTCAGGGTCAGAACCTTCTTTCTATTTGTTAATAATTGATTTAAACATGGCTATTAAACTCTCCATAATTCATATGGATAGATTTTTGGTAACTGTGATTATGAGAACAGATTTATCCCATTATATTTCTATCTTGCTAAATGCTTCAGCTAGTGCATTATTTACTTTCTCTATTTTTTAAATATCTGCATGCTTTTACTGTCTTAAAATCTTGTATTTTCTTTCTGTGTATATTTCTGATCATTGTACTCTTTAAATTATATCAGAATTTCAAACACTTCACTCTTGGATTCTTTATTCAGCTAGTTCTTTTTCCTTCTTAAATTAACAATATCATAAATTGTTAGTGGTCTGATTATGAATAGTCTAATATCAGTACTACAGCTACTGTATTACATTATAGGTTTAAAAGCTCTGAGGTCTCTAGAATAGTGATGTTAATATATATTTGTAGCTTGTAGCCTGTTTTGGTATTCTGTACACAATTTTTTTATCTTTTTGTAACCTTTCTTGTTGGAACACTGAATTTTGAAATAGCATACCTGAAACACACTTTGCTTATTATTATTTTGATAAATCTTATTTCTTTATATAGTCTGCCAGATATAATATTTGAATACTCTATGTATAAAATACAGTATTTAGTGTCAACTAACTGCTTAGTTAAGATTAGAATCTACAGATTACAGTTGCAGATCAGGATCTACGTTGTTAAAGAATTACACAATAAACCTTTATTCCAGCAAACAAAGTTACATTTCATCAATGTTTTCAACCTTATTTAAGTCATTCCTTTTTTGTTAGAAACTCTGACAGCATTATTTTAGTCTGAAGATGACTTTTAAATAATTTAACATTGAAAACAATAGCATAATTTAACTTTGTCTGGAGTAAAGGTTTATTTTGTAACTAGCAGGTAGGCCCAGCGTTGCTCGGGAAAAAGTAACGATAGTGAAGATTAAGATTATTATGTTATAGTCAACCTTACCTGTTTTCACAGAATGCAAGAATTGGGTCCCTCATTTCCAGACTAATTACAGAATTTTTAGATGGGTCTAAAAATATCTTCGATTTCTTGCAAAAATGAAAAAAAACTGCACTTTCTCTTAACAATTCCATTGTTATGTAACACTTCCATTGTTACTTAACACTTCCATTGTTGATGGAAGTGTTAAGCCTTAATCCTGTCTCTCTCCCCCGGGGGAATTTCGAAAAATCCGTTCTTAGTATGCGTTTTTGTGACATATCCTATCTGTGTACCAAATTTAAACTTTCAACTCCTAACTGTTTGGGCTCTGCGCTTATTATTATTATTATCATCAACCCGTCTCAATTATATATATAGATTCTTTAATACAGATTAGGATTCAAGCAACTTGAATTGGAATCTCAGCTAAAATTGTTTTGTAGAGATATGCTTCATTTTCATTATTTAAAACTTTTTAATATATTTGACCTAGAGTTGGGCAGTAGTTAACTACTAATGTAATTAAACTATTAGTTAGTTATAGTTGAAATTAAACATCTAGTTAACTACTTTTCCCTTTAATTCAGTAAATAATGTTGCCTTGGTAAATCTATTGTATTAAGCAGACACAACTACTCGCATGTAAAGAATAATTTTTAATTAAAATACGACATTACTCTCTCCAGTAGTGCTGCAGTGGAATGTTTTTTCTTGTCGGGACAAATTTTAGCACCTAAACAATGCAGAATGTCTGATGAAAAATTTAAAAATCTTGATTTTTTTCAGGATACAAGTGTTAAATAATAAGGATGTAATCAGGGGCGGACTAAGGCCTATGCAACCTAGGCACGTGCCTAGGGCCCATAATTTTTGGGGCCCGGAAGTTAGATTTTTAATTTTTTAATTTTAAAAATAGGCCCGGAATTACAATGTTGCCTAGGGCCCGCTTTAGCCTTAGTCCGCCTCTGGATGTAATGAAAACAACTGTTATTTTAATCCAGTGTAATGTTTTGTTTTGTTTTTATTTCTGAGTAGTATAAATGTAGTTAACTAGTAATTTTAACCAGGACTATGAATCAGGGTCAGAAGCAAATTTGTTGATAGAGGAGTCAGAAATTAGAGTGAATAAAAGTGAATCAACTTTGACTCCTAGTTTTTTTATTACATTATATTAATCTTCTCCTGCAAGAGGTTAAATTTACTGGGGAATTAATTGTGACAATGAAAAAACTTTGTGAAGGTTATATAAATACTTCCAGTTTTGATAAGAATGATTCACTATTTTGCTAGATGATTCACTTGGTAGTGATGAAATGGGTTAGTATAATCAATGTATATTTTAAATTATTGTTTAGAGGCAGAAGTTAGAGTCAGAGGCTTGGTCTACCAACTCTACACACAGATTTCAACTATCATACTTTAAAAAAAAAACTCTCTGATTATCTCATCATTTCTAAGGATGTATGGTCATCTCAATATCAGGACTTGACTTTGCCACATTTTTTTTTTATTGGAGTATTTAAAAGATAGAATTTATGTAAATAATTTCTGCAATTTGGATTGACTGAAACACATTTCAGTAAATACATCAGATATCATACCAACTTATGTTACAATACATGAATAAGAGGAATACATATTGCAAGTGTATCTCTGCTTTGAGATGGAATGCAGACACTTTCAGCATCTGTTCTAATTTCTGAATAAAGCTGATGGTTTGTACAGTACATATGTTTTGTTTATTTATACTTTGTGCTCAGAACATGTTTGAAAATTTTTTTTAATTGATAAAAAGATTTAGTAAGGGAAGTTTTGGTACACCATACATTATATCAAGGGTTAACACTGTTAAAAAATTTATTAATGTTAACATGCATCCAAATATTAATAAATTATAGTAGATTATATTATATATTAAAAATATTTTCATTGATATTTATAAACTGATGTTTTATTTGTAAATTTTTAATTTTACATTTTTTTTAAGTACAGTACATTAGGCTTTACTTATTCATTTGGGGACTTGTGTAAACTATTAACATTAATTGATAAATATATAGGGAGAAGGTGGTATTATGGAACCCTGCAGGCATTACGGAACCCCTCCATTTCAAACTGATAATAAAGGCGAACTGTAGCGGTTGTGGCCGAACCGCACTAGGCAGACATCCGTAGCGACGGGAAAACCCGTTTCGCTTCAGTTTAACGGTTGTCCGTAGTGAATTAGCATACAGTAGAGCATCGATTAACCGACCGTTCTAGTCGGCAAATTTCAAATGTCCGCTAGTTAAATTTTTGCGTGTTTTAGCTGGCAACACGGTTCGACCATTGAAGGGAAGCCATTATTTAAACGAGACTTAATTTTCTAATTATGAATGGTTGTTTTGTGAGCAATAAAATAATTTTTAACGATACAATAGCAATGATTATTATTAAAAAAAATTTTTGTTAGGCTTAACATCGATGAAAATTCAACGCGAAGTTGGTTAATAGCGATATACTAATTACATGGGATATACTAATATACTATATTAATAATGTATTTGTTTCAGTTATCCGACCAACCTGAGTCCCCAATTGAGTCAGATAATCGATGCTCTACTGTATTTGTGTTTTTCGAAATTCGAAAGTTTTGAATGCTAAGCGAATTTAATTATTTCTAAAATATAAATCGTGTAGTTGTAGGTTTGCCGGTGCACGTATTCCGTTCCAGAGACTTAGGGCTACGTATTTATCTGCGCGATGTTCACGTTTTTTAAAGTTTGGTCTGGACAGACATAAGTTAATTCGAGTCGGCGATGAGCGAAATACGGACCAATTGGTGCTTTTAATACGGAACCCGTCTAACTTTTACAAAAGTTAGACGGGTTCCGTATTAGGCTGTTGGTCGCCAGAAGTTAAAAAAGTTCATTTAATGATAAATAAATGGCGGTTCCTTTTTGGACAGACTTTGTCTTCAGAAATATATATGATTGCAATTAAAGGGAATTTGTTTTCATTGATTTTATTAAAATGTCATTAAAACCATTAAAAAATGTAACTTGAAAATTAATAGTAATTTGTTTGAAATAATTAATTCAAACAACTTAATCGTGTCAAAACTGTTACATTTGCTCTTTTAGTTGTTATTGTTCAAAATTTTTAGCTGTTGATTATGGAGTTAATAATTTAAAAAACTTATTAACCTGCAGCACTACGGATACAATAAAATTAATAATACAAAAATTGTAGACCTATAAATGTCTACTGTCATTTGTCCATCTGTCTTTCCTTACTCTCGAGAACAGAGTTAGATGTAAGAGATCAGATATGGAAACATAGGGACAGGAAGCCCCAATGTAGGAACTTCGGATGCAAACCGGACATCACATCATTTCAGTTTCAAAACTTCCCCGAAAGCAGTTAATAGATGATTCGCACAACTCTCTTCTTAAAGAAAAAGTATTATGTACAGGGGCAAGCCAATACTAATTTGAGGTGGAAAGCCTACGTGTTAAATTAAATTAATGAAAGATATGATTAAAAATTGCAGCCCAGCACGCGGTCGAGCCGGCAGCCTAGCGCTCTGGAGGACCCGGGTTCGAATCCGAACGGGTCGAAAAATCCCCAGGAATTTTTCGGGGGGTGGTTCCTTTCGGATATTGATGCATAATTACTTCATTTGTTCGAATTTTGCTATTTTCAGCGCTGTGTTAGTGGAGACTCGAAAGAGCCTTTCCCATTATTTTTCCTCTCAACTCTTTCCGCCCACAAAGAGTTTAAAAAATAACGAAGACTCTATTCGTTATTTATTTAAGTCCGACCCACTCGAAATACGATACACGATTTCTATCTTCCCACCCCGTCGATCTTCAACCATTAAAATGTAGTAGCATCGATGTCCCTAATAAACAAACCTTCCCGCAAAATTTCAGAAAGTTTCGATAAAAAGCGCAGGAATTATCGAGCTTCAAACACCGCGAACAAAAACTTGTCCCTCCCGCCGCGCGCACTAACATCGATACATACAGAAATTACCACCCGAAATTTTTTGCATTTCCCGATGTATCGAGGTCCCAAAATACAAAAAATTGTCGGGGGTCGTGTTGGATTTCCCGCAAAAAGGCAAAAAACCGCATCCGCGCTCGTAAATCTTGCACGTGGCTTTCTCTTTGCACTTTCCTCCGCGGGGAAGTGTTAAGAAATCTCTCCCCCGCGGTGGAAAATTTCGAAAAATCCGTTTTTGGTGTCATATTCTGTGTACCAAATTTCAATCTTCAACCGCTAACCGTTTGGGCTGCGCGTTTATTATTAACCCATTTCGACTATACGGATTAACAATATCGAATGGTTTTTCAATTGGAATTTGTAAATATTAAAAATTTTTTCCGACGGGGGATATTTAATAAAAGCGAATAAAAATTAAAAATTGAAAATATTCGGTATAAAAATAAAGTACAGTAGTATTCATTTCTTTAAACTAATTAAATTAATTAAAAGGTTTTATTTCATTCGCACTTTTTAAAAATAAAATTAATAATAATTTTGAACGCCAGATGGCAACCAGGTAGTTTTCGAAGAAGGAAGCGGAGTGTTGGGTAGTTGGGAAGATGAGGAATCGAAACAGACCTAATTACGGGATTACGTTGCTTCTCTGGCACATCTTCGGTACAGTGGGCGTGGACCGAATACCACCGGTGACCATGGCCGCCGTCGTCCTGCAAGTAATCGTCTATTTGCGTTTGATACGGCTTCCGTGGTACGAAGTGTCCGACGTTTGTCTGAGTTTAGATCGCGTCTGGTACGGAAGGGAATGGCAGAGACTTATTTTTGCGGCTATAGAACACGCGGACGACATCCATTTATACTACAACATGGTATCCTTCGTTTGGAAAGGACAACAATTGGAACGACGATGGGGATCATTGAAATTTTTCTATATTTTGTGCGTGTTTACGGTACTAACCAACGTGGCTTTGTTAGCTTTAAGTCACGTCGCCAGCGAATATTTCGACCCGGTTTATCGATATCATTGCGCGGTGGGATTTTCCGGAGTCATCTTCGCTCTCAAAGTTCTCACCAACTATTATCGGCCGCAAACCACCGTCGTAATTTACGGATTGCCGTTGCCCGCCGCCTACGCCGTGTGGTTAGAACTGGTGCTCATTCAATTAGTAGTACCCGGCGCTTCTTTCCTGGGACACTTGGCGGGTATCTTGGTGGGAGTGTGCTACGCCAAAGGACCTCTAAAACCGGCCATGGACGCCGCGGAGAATCTGGCTAGAAGAATTTTTAGGCCGGCTCCGGACGACCGTTACCGGTTTCGGTACGCCGGAGACGAAGATTCCGGTCTGTCCGCCGAGGAGATTCGGAGACGACGACTCTTTCGATTCAATTACGCGCCCACCACTCGAAATTAAAAAGTTTTATAAAATTAATTTATTCCCTTGGTAAAAGTTAAAATAATATTTTTGTATTTATTTCCTACTTTTGTACATTTTATATTGAAAAATTATACTCTTACTCGAACTTATTAAAGAATTTTGAATTATTATGCAGTTTGGTAAATCTCTTACAATCGGTTTTATAATAGTAAATTTACGTGTCTTTTAGTTTTCGTACTTAAATGTTTTTGATGGTTTATTTCTTCGTTTTAAGTACAATGCTGTATTTTGTGCCATTCTATTATTTCAAAATGTATTCATTCGTTTATGGACTGCGTATTAAATGTTACTAAACCTTACCTTTAAAAAATACAATTATAAATTTGAACACATCGAGTTCTCTTAATAATAATGAAAGGATGACCATAAAATAATCATTACACAAGTCGTTAATTTTTAAATTCTTTCGGGAGTGTTTAATGCTAAAATATAGAAAAACTAGTTTCTATCACATTATTTTAAATTTTACAGTTTAAAGCAGAATTTTGTTTTTTTTAATTAATAGTCAAAAATCTTAATTTTTATTAAAATTTATTACATTTAAAAAAAAATAACTTATATAAATTCTCTTACTTGTAATTATTGATGTAAACAACAATTTTCGTTTCTTAAGTAATTTCAGTTAAAAATTACGAAGAGAGACACCACCCCGGTACACCCTGACGCGACTACAGTGCTGTTTAGTTCGCCATGTTCTCATATAATCCGGGAAAAAGAGTTTTTCCCGAAAGATACTGGGACACTTCAATTCTAGGATTCCGGGACACGCGATGGATGTTTACTTTTACTACGCCATTGACACAAATACATTTAAAATGTGGAAAAAGAAAGATATACTTTATTCTAAACACTTCCTGGAATGAAGTCGTCCTGTAAGTTTAGAAAATCGGAAGAGATACAGCCGTGGTAAATAATGATCACCGTAGTTCCGCATCAACTACGTCTTCGGTTCTCTTAAACCAAAGCGTCCAAAAGTTTCTAACGCCAAAGGGAGAGGACGTACGCCAAGCCCAGGCAAAAGGATGCTGCCTCGGCACGATTCCTCCCACCGTGATATTGGCGCGTGTCCCTCTTAGTTGGAGCCGTCCTCGGCACTCGGACGAAGGAATCTTGCAGAGACACTGCGGAAGAGATCGAGCCCCATCACGACAGGGAGAAAGCAACCCCCTCTCGTTAGTATCCGAGTCGGTCCGCTTTGCATCCATTACCCATGCTAATCGATCGATTGGTTGGAGGCGGTCTTCGATTTTCATCGATATTCGATTACGAACTTCGTCAATCCACCCGATAGCGGGAGATAAACGGAGAAGAGGACCAGGACGTTGCCAAGGGCGCCGCGGGAAGTAAGACCCAGAGGATTCGTGTTCCGCCCCCATTTAGTCGAGAGACGGCCGGTTGCCAATGTCGTCGTCCGCATACGCCAATGCGCATTGAAATAACGAACGATATAAAAATATAACAATCGGGCTCAGGCGCCCGATTCTTATGCTATTATTATTCATCTTCAATCCTAAATTATTCGTCCTTGATGGGAGCTTGGCGATTTGTTCCGCGGTGTTTTGATGGGATTCACCCACCGCTTGCATTGTGAAGGAAATTCGCTTCGCTGGCATCGCTCGTTCTCTTCGCTTTCGATGTAAATCGCGCTTAAAGATGTAGTTGTGGAACTACGATGAAAAAATATCTTCCGATTTGTCAAATCAGATTCAGGATATTCTGAAGGAGGTCGACGAATCTGAATCTTCGATTGAACTTCGCATCCATGCGCTCTAAGTACTACTCACTCAAACTGGGGTGCTGGTCCGCCAACAGTTTATCACTGGCCGACAAGAGATTTCGCAACTTTAAACTTGTTTCATTGAAGTAACGTAAACAATAAAAAGAAAGTAAAAACCTTTTACTTTCTTTTTATTGTTGTTAAACGCAGTGCAGGGGTGGACGGCGAACGAAATCGGCCCGTCATTATAAGGATGGATGGCGTATCAACGCTGTAATGATACTTGCGTACTATTTAGTATGTAAAATGTCTACTAGGACTTTTAATAGGACTTATTATACCGGTGACCTGGTTCTGCAATTTTAAGAAAACTAATCACAGAAAACAGTCTCTAGTTTTCAAAATTTAATTCAAAACCAGCAGAAAGACTAGTCTCGAGAGTGCATATTATTATTATTTTGGCATGAATTTGTTCCCAACATGAAATCTATTCAAACTGGGCTGTAAAACGGCGAATTAAAGTACTGTAATTCAATTTATTAACATCGATGAATGCGTACGCGTTTCTTAAAGTTAAGATCTTTTGCATCAGTCTAACCCAGTGTTTCTCAACGGGGGCGATATCGCCCCCATGTGGGCGTTTTTCCATGTTGAGGAGCGATTACTAACAATTTATATTTGGGGGGCGAAAAACAATTTTCTGGGCGATATAGTAAAACATTACATTAAGAATAGTTAGATATTTGTTTAATTATTGTACGATATAACGAATAAAATAACATTATACTAGTCTCTAGTCTATTCAATGCAGTACGAATTTGGCGTTAGCCTTGGCCCTGGGCATCGGAATTTTGAAGTGAAGGGGACGATGATTCCTTAGAGGTTGAGAAACACTGGTCTAATCCAATATTACACTATCGTATACAGTAAGAAAATCTAGGGAACACCTAATTTCATCTAGTAACCCTGCCATAGACTGTGACAAGTTAAATTAAGTTCAAATATACTGTACTATAATACTCGATCAAATAAATAAAACATATAATACGGTAAACGTAGAACTGAAGTTCGTGTTATGTTGGGTGGAAACAATCGCTTCGGTCTACCGACCTCGCGGTTGCTGTTTCGAACCCGAACTGGGAAATTCGGTGATGATAGTTTTTCCTTACTTTAAAATGGGGATATAAATTACTGTAGATCCAACTCTGAGAATTTTCCTTTTACTTTCTTGTCTGTGTTAACATAACACGCGAAAGTATTGTAATCGTTTCAAATTTTTACTTGCCAGCTATTAATTAATGCAATGTAGTGTAATCGTGTCACATTTCAGCCTCTGGGTTTTTTAAATTACGTTTTTGAGGCTTCCTGAACTCAAAAAAAGTAAAAACACCAATTCCTTGTGTCCTGGGATGTTTGTGTTCGCGTCTATTTTGTTTCGTGTCTTGGGAATGGGTAAAAATTAAGAAACAAAATTTGGCATGGTAAATGCTGTTAAATTTTGGTGGTTAAAGGTCGTGAGAGTTAGGAGATATAGAGGGGGTTGTGCATGCCCCTCATCGAAACATGTCTCGAGTGAGGTTGGGCTTAACGAAAATTTTATATACAGTATTAGCATTTACAATTGTGAGGCCTCTCCACAGTGTTGGAATCTACTGACGCCTTCATACAGTATAGACTCCATAGCTTACAATGAAAGATAGGGTTGTTTGTCATTTTCTTTCTGGATGATGCTAGAGGATAGAACCGTATGGGGATAGTGGTAGCAGACCAATCTACTCAAGTATTGACTGACAAGCTAATTCATATTTATTAGGATAACAGATAGGTTCTTACATTATATTGATCGGTTTCTTCTTGTGGGGAGAATGTGTGTGGATATCTCTCGAAGGTGGTTTTTGTAAGGAGAGAAAGATGATGGTATCCCTCGATGGTGGTCTTCGTACTCTGGACAAGATCAATCCTGATGTTGGTCGATTGGTCCCTTTTGGTTGGAAAAGGACTTGTTTGTGATTGCTCGTTTTGTAATCAACCAGTAGGGATGCAGGAAGCACCAAAGGATGGGAATCATGAAGTGGATTAAGAGGATGATAAGAACCATCAGACAAAGACAACCTCGTGTTCTCAAGAACACGGGTTTTTATCCAATTTGTCGCAGAATTCCGATATTGGTTTCGATCTGTCACTTTCCCCATCCTGATTGGTCCCTGACCTGTTGCTAAGGGTACAATTTGGGTCATGGAGACAATGACTACCCTCTTGCCCCGAAGGGTTGGGTTACATTTCTTTGAATGATTGCCCGTAAATTAGCAAAAATGATTTTTTTATTCCCTCTTGGAGAGATAGCCGCATCCTCAGTCACAATCTCTCCAAGAAAGCATTTGCTTTTTCAATTTTGACACTGTTAAAGTAACCACAAAGTTTTCTATCAATGCCACTCCCTCTCTCTCAATCTATGAGTGAAAATGCATCAATTAAATTTTACATCAGCCAATTTCTTCGTGTCCCAACCTCATGTAAAGGATATATCAGCTGTTTATTGACATTAGTTTGTTGGTCAGGACCAGCTGGTGGGAAGTGCGACCGCACAAAGCCCTGTGATCCTGCATGATCTAACTCTTACGAAATTTAAAAATTGATCACTTCATTATTCACTAAGTTTACTAACTTTCGCTAATCTTTTCAACGGATGGTATGTTTACCGTTAAATTATTATTTTGTTGTTCAAAACTGCAATTTTTTTATTAAAAGGCCCAGCACAACAACCTTGCACCGGGCCCCGCTATTTCTTGGACCGGCCCTGTTGGTATATTGTCGGTTTTGACTGAGAGGTCTGGATCTCAGATTACTATTTGTAAGTTCCTTCAGCACTACCAGGATGCAATTTTTTGCAAAAGACTACATTTGTGATGATGAAATACTTGGAAACTTCATCTTGATAATGCCCTCTCTTTCTCAATGTATCCAATTCAGAAGTTTCTTACCAAGCATAGAATACCATAGGTGCAACAGCCCCCTACTCACCAGACTTGGCTATGTGCGACTTTTAGCTCTTTTACAAACTGAAAATGCCATTAAAGGGATTGATATTTCATAACAACGACAACATCAAAGCCAATATGACAAAGGCACTGATGGCAATTTCCAAAATTACTTAAGTGGAAAGCATGTTGGAATGAGTGTGTGCAGCAAAAAAAGGAGCAATTTGAAGTGGATTAAGGTAAAAAGTCAAAACACAACATACAGTAGACCCCCCTATAACGGAAATTCCTATAACGTAGCGAAAAAATTGTAGCAACATTCGTATAAAGGAGCTCCTAAAACGTTGTCGCTGACTTGTTTCGCGACAAGATTGATAGAATCTGGACCAATAGTGGATGAGCAGCCGAACCACTTTCCTCCGCCCTGTGCCACGCTACGGAACAGCTAAATTGAGTTTGCTATTGTCTGTACAGTATTATATATAAATTAGGTACTGTACATATAATTATATATTAATTATNGGCAAGTCCATTTAGTTATAATGAAACTCTTACTTTTTTTAGTCAGCACTGTAAACACTATTGGATTATAAACTTACATTATCTGGTACCACAAAATATTAAAAATATATCTATTAATACTTACCAATATTTTTAAATTTATTGAAATGCAAACCTTTAAATATCTCGCAATAACAAAAATTGGACTTGCCCCAATTTCAAAATAAATGGCTCATTTGTAAGTTCCTTCAGCACTACCAGGATGCAATTTTTTGCAAGAGACTACACCTGTGATGATGAAATACTTGGAAACTTCATCTTCACAATGATCTCTCTCTCAATGTATCCAATTCAGAAGTTTCTTACCAAGCATAGAATACCATAGGTGCAACAGCCCCCTACTCACCAGACTTGGCTATGTGCGACTTTTAGCTCTCCCAAACTGAAGATGCCATTAAAGGGATTGATATTTCATAACAATGACATTGGCACTGACGGCAATTTCCAAAATTACTTTAATTAATTAATTAAAGTGGAAAGCGTGTTGGAATGTGTGTGTGCAGCAAAAAAAGGAGCAGTTTGAAGTGGATTAAGGTAAAAAGTCAAAACACAACATACTTTTCTCTTGCCGAAGGTAGGATAATTTTTGATCAGACCTCATTCTCCTCTAACTTCTAGAAATTAAATTAATTCCAGTAATATTAAAATTGAATTTATTATTTAACAACTTTACAAAATATTACAAAGATTATGTACATCTATAAACAACTTTGGGTTATTCTACAGTTATACTATTCATTCTTTCATTTGTTGAATTAATAAACATAATTAAAAAATAGAATATTCATTTTCAACAATTTACAAGTAAATGATTTTAAAGAATGAAATTCATTTTCATAACAAAATTTGACTAACATAATTTATAAAATACTTAATTTTTCATCATAATATGTTTATAATATGAAAATTGGCTTTTTAGTTATAATTTTGCAGAGAAATCAAAACTAAAACAACTGAAATTATTTTAGTAATCTGTAAGATTTAATCTTAACTTATTGGCACTAAAATTAACTTTAAATAATTACGAGACGATCTATTCGACATCTGATAGAGAGCCTATTTGTTGAGAGTTTGTGGGAGAAAGCTCATCCTCCTAAATTGAAAATAACAAACAATTATACATGTACATGTTCAATGAATGATAATCTAAGATAAAAAGCTAATTATAAGTTCAATTACCCTATCAGTGTCTAATAATAGATCTGGTTCGGGTTCCGAAGTAGCTTCTCTTTCATATTCGTATTCTTCTTCTTCTGAGACTATAGTATTGATAAATAATAAGCTGTTCTAGTATTTTTATTGTAATTAAGCATTAAAAATTATCTATCAAAACAAACTGATAAATGAACAATTAAATTACTAGTAGTAGTAATTTAGTTTTAATTAGAGTTTAATTTTTGACAGTCTCATTAATATAAATTTTGAACATTTTTTTAAAATTAAAAAACAATTTATGAGAAATGATTTTGAAAATTAAAATATCAGAAAACACCTAAAAAAATTACAAATCAAGTACTGGGGATTTTATGTACAGTGGAACCTCGGTATACGTCTGCTTTAGAATATGTTCAATTCGGAATACGTCCTGTTTGGACGAAACAAATTTTGCTCGGTATAAGACTTTTGTTCGGTATACAACTTAATTCAATTATACGCACCATCCATGAACAAGTAGCACTATCGGTGTACTACACTAGACTAGACGTTCGCAGTGCTACAGTTTATAACTTTGTTAAATTTCTTCTGATTTTAATTTGTAAGTAACATTTTATTATTTTTATTAATCATGAATTGCAAGAGGGCAACAGAAAAATAAAAAAATGACTAGAATCACAATGGAACTGAAAAAAGAGATTGTTGAGAAATATGAAGGTGGCACACGTGTTCAAGATTTAACGAGATTTAACTGTTGCATTCCGTATTCCTAGAACGACGATATTGACAATCGTGAAAAATAAAGACATTATTAAATTTGCTAACATTGCGAAACGGGTTAAATCAATTTCTAAACAGAGATCAAAGACATTAGATCATATCGAGAAATTGCTTTTGCTTTGGATAACTGAAAAACAGCGTATCGGAAGAAATTATTTGCGAGAAAGTTAAAAGGATACTTGCTGATCTCATGAAAAATCAAGCAGAAACTAGCGAGGAAAGAGAGGTGTTTAAAGCTAGCCATTTTTTTTTTTTACATGAGAACGGATTAATCATTTTTACATTACTTCTTATAAAAAAGGTTGGTTTGGTATACGTCCTATTCGGTATAAGTCCAAACACCAGGAATGGATTAAGGTCGTATACTGAGGTTTCACTGTATTTAAATTGCACACAGTACAGAATAAAATTCATATAATTATATTTGTAGATATTTATACTTACAGTCTGAAAGTTGTGATGGCCTTGGAGATTGAATCTTGCACACCCTTTCTGTTAGATCAATAAACGAAGCACCACACAAATTTTTCCCTGACTAATATTTAAAATTCAATTAATACAGTCGATCCCCCTATAAGACGGTAGATACGTTCCGTTCTTTATGAATCCGATTTTGTAGGAATCACAGCTAATCACAGTCCGACACGTGTGAAGTTTACGGACTACGGCTGTTTGAAAGATTTTCTTCCATAAAATTAATCGATTCTAGACTAATCCGATTCAACATTTCCAAAATACGCATAATTTTTTTGGGAATAATCCGTATAAACTACGCTATAAACAAAAAATTGTAGGATTACTTACCGAGTGTGTACCATTCGACATCGCCATTGCTAAAGCTTGTTTTTGTCGCGGAACAACTCAGCAAACCGCCGCCGCGATTTCTGATGTTATTTTTCTGCGAAAACTTCGCTGAACTTTGGAGACATCATTAATATAAATAATTTTTATCGCCGTTGAATAAGAAATGTTTCTTTCACACGAAATGTATAAAATTACAGTACTGTATTAGACTTACGGTACCTAATTTACATACTATACAGACGATAGTTCGTTCTAAACTTTCCGTAGCATGGCGCCAGGCGGCGGAAAAAATATATATATAATTATAATAAAGTTACAATAAATTAAGTTAATATATAATTATATATACAGTACCTAATTTATATATACAGTAATTAAGAACTACTGTTCTAGAGAATAGAGACTCATCATAAACTTTGAACTGTTACCCTCGTATCCAGGTCAACGAGAACTTCAACCGACCAACCAACCATTCAGGTTGGAAGACACTCCCGTCCTATAACCTCGAGCAATAAATATTGTCGCGAGTTTGACACGCGCTGTGATTTATCTGTATATATCCATAATATTAAATTTCACATCAAATTCTTTTATTATAGTGACGCGACATATTGATGCGGCTAATGAACCATAAAATTGTTGTCGAGAGAAAGAAAAAAATTAAACCGAACATTCCCTATGTAAACATACCTCTAACCACAAATTTTATTGACAGAACATATTAAAATCACACTATCATAAGTGGGATTTTAAAAAAAGGGTGGAGTGAATATGAGATCCGATCCGTGCGTAAACCAATTTTTCACTTTCCACCTAAACTTTCGACATATTTTAAATAAATTTATCACCTTACCGTTAAGATAACATCGTCAGAAAAAAATCAAATATCTCATCAACAACGATAGAAAGTTATAACTCTCCTCTCTAATGTACACATTCAACCATCTAAACAATGTCATTCTCATACTGCAAGACTTAAAGTTTACGATAACGTCCGATTTCTTTACTTTATTATCGTCCCGGGAACACCTTTCGACCTTCATACCTGCTAAAGTAACCTCTAGCTCTAATAACAGTCCATCACATGACGTTTTTCCCAGGCCAAATCAATATAAGCCGTCATCAACCCCTCAGGGAAGTCTCTCACAAGCCGGACTATACTGAAGAGCGATATCGTCGAGCTATCTTTATTAAGTGCGGTCTACGAATCAAAGTCGCGATTTTTATAAAATTGTGCACCGTCGACATCAAAGTCTGATACGAACCTCCATAGAATAATCAAGAGGTGTGATATTAAGCATGTAAACGCTCTCTCGGCCCCTAAAACTTGTATTCGAAAGTTAGGAGAGCTCGAAGTTATGTTGATTTTCGTAGTTGTAAACGTCCTTTTTTGTTATTCAATAAATTTTCTTGTTAAATGGTGTCCTTTGCTCGTTTATTGCCTACGCCTTACGACGTCCCCTCTCACCTCCTCCACTCGACCTGACGAAAAGAATCCCGGCCCTTCGAGATCGTAGAAAGTAACAAGCCATCTACTGACAAAGTGGGTAAGTTTAACCAACTTGTTGCCGACAAATAGAGGTACGACCTCGTCATACCTCCGGCGTCCCACAAAAGTATTGGTCGCTGTAATAAACACATTTCTCTTAGTAATGAAAAATAATAGTATGGAATGTAACCCTGTTTTGCATTAGTCTTTTGTTTCGTATAGCACGAAACTTTTTCTGGACGTAACTACCGTGTTATACGAGGGATACCTGTAGTTAGTACCATCGTTTTTTTATTTTGATTTTTGACAAATGAAATTGTTATCTTGCCCATAAAAACATTACTACAGCGATTATGTTTTAAAAGTATTTGCTTTTAAAATANTTTAGACTTAGTCCCTCATCAGTCCAACCATCTCATGTAGATGACAAAAATTATATAAGGGTTGTTTCTTTTTCAACCTCAAATGGTCCATAAAACAAAGACAAATGTAAATAAAATGAATTTATTACCATAAGTTAGGTACAAACATTGTTACTTTTCAGCATAATCTCCGTGAAAACTGAGGCATTTGTCTATCTGTGGATGAGCTTTGAAATCCCCTCTTCATAGAATGTTACCACCAATGACTTGAGATGGGCCCTAACATTGTTTTGAAGATTGTCAAACCTCTGCCCTCCTAGCTACGTTTTCACTTCAGGAAAGAGGTGGAAATCACTCAGTGCTAAATCAGAGTTATATGCTAGGTGTTTAAAGATGGTGAAGACGTATTAAAAAGTTCCAAGCTGGGTAGAAGTCTTCACCACTTTTAAATACCCAGCATATAACTCTGATTTAGCACTGAGTGATTTCCACCTCTTTCCTGAAGTGAAAACGTAGCTAGGAGGGCAGAGGTTTGAGACTAATGACAATCTTCAAAACAATGTTAGGGCCCATCTCAAATCATTGGTGGCAACATTCTATGAAGAGGGATTTCAAAGCTCATCCACAGATAGACAAATGCCTCAGTTTTCACGGTGATTATGTTGAAAAACAACCATGTTTGTACCTAACTTACAGTAATAAATTCATTTTGTTATTTACATTTGTCTTTGTTTTATGAACTATTGGAGGTTGAAAAAGAAACAGCCCTCATATAATACAAACAAATTTAATTTTCAATTTACATAATATTTAAATAATTATCAGACATGTAAACATGTAAACTCTATCTTTAAGCAGAATTTCTGGGTGTGTGTGTATATATATATATATATATATATAAAGATAATATGATATAATATGATGATCCTGCTTAGCAACTGCACATTTACCTACTCAATCTAGACATATTGACAAATACTAACAAAAATTCTTTACAAACATTAAATGAAAATAAGTGTCCTGATTGGTTAATAAATTTTATACAGTTTACATTAATTAATTAATTATTTTTCATATAATGAGAACTTTTATTCACAGGTAGAAGGAATACCAATGGGTATTTGTATAGGTCCAATATTAGCAGAACTTACCATGACAAAAATTAGAAAAAATTAAAAAAAAGATTTAGAATTTCAAATATTAAAGAAATTAAAATTAAAGCAGTCTATCCCTATGTTGATGAATACTTAGTATATAATAGTGAAAAAACAAATAATATATTATCTCAGGCAAATAAAATTTGAAACTGAAAATGAAATTAACAATCAAATAACATATTTAGATGTGAGAGTAATCAGAAATAGTCAAACATTAAGATTGAAAAATTTAGTAAATGCTGAAATTTGAAAATTAATCAATTACTACTCAGAAATCCCACACACACACAAAAATACGTACCTTACGACAATATAAAAAATTAAGACTACACAATTTTATCTGATGTTCAGGAAAAATAAATAAAAGATGACAAAAACATATTTAATGAATGATTACTAAAAGTATTAAACACACAGCTAAATCAGTCTCAGATTCTGAAGACTAGTAAAATACAAATTAATACATCAAAAGTAGTTAAATTAAAATATATTAAAGGAATTTCAAAAAATTATGATCTTACATTAATCCCAAAAGTAACAGGAAAAATAGACATATACAAAATCAGATCAAATTAGACATATTGGAGACAGAAGGATTAGTATACAGATTTGAATGTAGCTGTGCACACCCCAGTATCTATGTGGGGGAAACAAAACAAAACAAAAATTTAAAGTTACATTTAAAGAACATTAATTCCATAAAACATAATAGTAAAAATTCAGCTGTCTCAATTCATTGTAATAATGTGTGTGTGAAATTAAAAAAATATCCAGTAAAAATCATGAAAAAAGATGATGATATGAGTGCACACAATTAATTAAATTGTATAAAGGTAGTGGAATAAACGATAATATTGGATATCAACTTCCAGAATTCTGGTATGCTTACATGGATCCTAGGGGGATTATCTCTAAAACTCAACCAAATTTATAAGATTAGTTTGCACAAAGCAACCTTTGGCTGTGCACAAAGGTTGCTTTGTGCACAGCCAAAGAAAAATGTTACTCAACCTTTTAATCAATTATTTTGTAAACCTTTCTTACTTGTGTGTTACCACCAGTTCCCTTTCTTCTAAACATCTGTTATTTAAGAGCAACTGTCAGTTAAAATTAATTTTGTTAAAGATTTCCTTGTTAATATGTCTAATATTAAAATAGGAAAATAGTTGTCAGTTAAATGATTCTATTGAAAACAGGATCATCGTATTACCTGTAATACTGTTTACTAGTATTCTATACAATTAAGTTTTATACTTTTGTTATAACTGATTGGTCTTTTCTTCTGAAATCTGTTATTTAGGAGGTAAGAAAATTATAAATAATTTTAGCTTACACTTTTATATAAAGAATTTTTTATTAAAATTTTTGTAAATATGTCTACATTAAATAGGTAAATGTCCAGTCTGAGTAACACTCATCATTAAGAACAGGATCATATCATCTTTTATATATATAATGCCAGAAATTCTGCTTACAAGTACAATTTACATGTCTGATAATTATTTAGATGTTATGTAACTGACAATTAAATTTGTCTGTATTATATAATTTTTGTCATCTATATGAGATAGTTGGACTGATGAGGAACTAGAAGCCTGAAATTCATTTCCAATTCAATAAAAGTGTATATTTTTTTGGATCTATCTCTGACTCGTCAGTTTTCATCACTTGATGTACACGGTGCAATAAATCTGAAAATTAGCCAAATTTAGGCCACATTAAATAAATAAAGGTTTAATTAATGAATGAAAGAGTGATATGCTTCCTGTGTGTGTGTGGAGAATGCAAGACCAGCAAATATTTATAGCAGAGGCTTCATTCTGCTCCACGATAATGCCCACCCCGTGTTGTCAGGATCATGGCAGAATTGCTTCCCAAGTTTTATTGGGAAGTGATCAATCACCCTACCTACAATCCAGACTCGAGCCTTTGCAATTTTCACCTTTTCAATCCCCTGAAAAAAACACCTTGAAGGACACCACTATATATTGGATGCAAAAGCAATGGCTGCTGTGACAGATTTGTTTGATTCCCAGAGCACGGACTTCTATGACTGCATTTGTCACAGTTTTTCAGTGTGACAAGTGTCTTAATTAATGCATATGGGAATAATGTTTTGCAATAATGTTTCCACAGGCAAAGGTACCTTTTTATTTCATTATAAATATTGCATTTCATCAGAGCTTAAAATATTGCTTCTCAATTAACTTGAAAATTTTAGTACAGTAAAACCTGTCTATGGAGACCACCCACGGTTCCTTCAAAAAGTGGTCGTTTAGACAGGTGGTGCTGTAATACCGTATTTCCGTACGTATTTTGCGCACTTTTTAGCCATTTCTACTAAGCAAAACTCGAGGTGAGCAAAAATAAGCGAATTTTTTCAACGATAGGGCTATACTGGTATTGTATTTTATTCTTATCGGATAACCCGATTTACAGGAGTCGTCATGATATTATAAGACAGATTTAACACCAATATTTTAAAGATTAATACAATACTCGCATTTTCTCGATTATAATGCACACTTTCTTTTTTCCGACTTAATTAATTCGACTCGGTTCTTTTCGTTCGCTCCTCAGTTACGTGTATTACGTCATCAATATACAAGCGCGTCCTATCTCTCCATCACTTTGCTTTTGGTTTTCGTTAGTTTAATCTTATTTTAACTTTAAAAATACTGTATTTTTTAATATTTAATATTTTCTTAATTAATTAAGTACAATAAGAAAAATTATTAATTAATAATAAAACGATTTTATTATTTTTTCTCATTATACGATTTCATTACAATCGCTGAATCGAAAAAGGAAGTAAAACTGATTTTTGCATTAATGCGTTTATTGTTTTTTGAACATTTTGCCTGCGAAAATTACTTGGCTATTTTTCTAAAAATATCGTGGAAATAGGTAGGTTGATACAGAAACTATTTATCGCACGTGTACTGTATATGAGCTTCAAAATAAATAAATAAAAAGAGATTTTATCAAACGATGAGATCAGCCGATTAATTTTATCGTGTACAATATTTTACACCCCCAAGGAAAATACTGTAGATCTAGGGTAAAATAAATTTTGTTTTCCCACAGTTAAACTTTGCCGCTAATTGCTGTTGTGATAACTTTAATATGATCTTCTAACGACAGCACTTTGCGTTTCAGACATTTTCCAATAAACTGAAATTAATTTCCTTTGTTGCTAGACTAATTTATTAGCACCTGCACCTAATTTCGAGGGTGGGAGAAGTGCCTGGCATGGGTTCGAATGAGAGTTTAGACTAATTCATTATATTAGGAGGTGGAAACGTTGTTGAGATGGGTTCTTACAATAGTTTAGACCAGATACATTCGCGAAAGTGGTCGCTTATTACAGGTGTTGTATGTTGTTTCGGACCAAAAATCGATGCCCGCGGTCGCGTTACACAGGTGGTCGTTTAATACAGGTAACTTATACGAAGACTCTATGGATAAACTATTCCGTGCCAGAAATTTTTGCCCGTTTTGACAGGTGCCCGTCGAATGCAGGTGGTCGCCTAAGCAGTTTTCACTGTGTTTTAAAGTGGTTATTTACATAATTTTTAAAAATCAGATTGTTACTTTTGTTTTGACTTTATAAGTACAGTAGAACCTCGATTATCCAGACTAATTGGGGATGAAGGTAGTCCAGATAAGGAAAAATCCGGATAATTGAAACAAATACTTTAATTTGTCTTTTAATGATAATACAACACATTTTCTTTTCGATGACATATCTGTAATATTAAAAGTAAATACTGTATTTAAATTGTGATCAAATTTTCAAGAAACAAACGTTTGTATTGAATTTGGACTACTACTGACCAATGCTAACCTTCTTCTTATTAATGTGGGAAGTTGGACGCCTGCTTCGAGGCTTTAGCGTCCCGCCGATGAATATTTGTGGCTGGCCGTCCTCTAGCGGTGAGGACAGGCAATAACGAGTAGGTGATTATTGTCAGTAGCGGAGGTGGCGCCCACTAGTAGCGGAACATTTTACAGTACTCTCTGAAGTAGGTGATCAAGGCCTCCTGACAGGTGGCGGGAGGAGAGAGGTTGAGATAATTGGAGATCTTGGCGTTATTTGGTGTGTTGATAGGATAATCGTTTATAATTTATTCCCGGATCTTGTCAAAATTGGGGCAGTAGTTGAGGCGGTGCAAGGATGTGTTGATTTGATTGGAACATGTGCTGCATTTATCAGTTTTTTGGATTTTCCGGGTGAAGAGGAAGTGGTTGGTAAGAAGCGAGTTAGTCCTGGCGCGGTTGACAAGGACGTTTATGCTTCGATTGGTGATTGAGGGGATGGTGATGTGGGAATAGTTGTGAAGCCAGGGGAAATTGGAGTGGTTATGATAGTTGTTCCAGGCATCTTCCATGATCTGCTGGTGATCGGGGAGCAGCACCCCGTGGAGGTCTTCAGGTGTGATGAAGTTGGAGTTCACAGAAGTTGGCGGCTTACTTTTAGTGAAGGCGTCGGCTTTTTCATCGATATCGATGCTTAGATGGGCCGGAGTCCAAACAAGGTGTAGGCGTTTGCCTTGGCAGTAGACTACCTATTGTTAAAAGGCCCTCTGCTGGCGCAAGACGATGGATTTTATAAAATAAAAAGCAGTTGAAACTTCTTTTTTATGAATAAAAATTTGACAAACTATCGTTTTATGACGAGTAAAATTTTTCTTCGCGTTCACGGCTTTTAAGTAATGTATAAACCTTTGAGGCGTGAGGCCCTTCAGACTGCGAGGCATAGGCGGTGGCCCACATCGTCCATGCCTTACGCCGCCCTTGGTCATAGAAATGATGTAATTTGAATATAAATTATTTATAAATACGTATGTCAAGTTATATTACTACGTAAAACATATTTAAGAGTTTACGACTACTGTGCTGGGTGAGACGTTGTTGAAACAAAAAAAGTTATGCATTCCATCACGTACATAAACAGTGTCGTAATTCGCCAAGTGCAAATCAGCAAATTCGTAAAATTTTTGTTTATTTTGAACAATCCGGATAATGGAGGTTCTACTTTACCAAAATATCTTTTTTTTTCATAATTCTTAAATGCAAAAATTGCTAAAATAAAAATAATTTTGAAAATCCAATTACCTGAAAATTTAGATGGTGTTGATTGGAAGATTGGTAATTACATAATGGTCCATGATGCTTTGCTTTGTTCTCATTAAAATAATTTTTCCCATAATTGTAACCAACTTCCTGTAAAATTAAATTAAATTTCATAAAAGTAATAAAATTAATGCAATATTTAAGAAGCTAACAAAGTTTAATTCTCAAATATTTCATAGGCATATATAAAATAAAATTAAGACAAAAATGTAAAACTGCTTTAAATAAATTCAGTTAATCTTTGTATATTTAATTGAAGTATTAAATACTTTAAGTTTAGCCAAACAACTACCAGATTACACCTGACTACTTTTCCACAATTTTATTTAATTAATTACTAAATAATTTGTTGCTAGAGGGAGGCGTTAGGCACTATTTCTTATTAAATTTAATAATTATAATTAAATTAATGTTTATTAAATAATTTAGAATATTCTGGGAGAAGAATCGGCCCAGAGTGGGACTCAAACCCGCAACTCGTGGTCCAGGCTGATTTTCTTCTTCCAGAATATTCTAAATTATTTAATAAACATTAATTATAATTACTAAATTTAATAAGAAATAGTGCCTAATGCAAATTGTTTAGTAATTAAATAAAATCGTGGAAAGTAGTTAGGTGGTTGTTTGGCTTTACAAATTTATCAGGTTTTGTGATGTTTGTTTATACTGTGGCCGTCAGTCATGATATGTTATATTTCCTATATTTTATGTTGTATTAGTATTAGAGTTTCCTTTCTCTTTGTCTAAAACCGTCTAGAACTTTCTTTTCTCTAAACCTTCCTATAACTTTCTTTGTCTGAACCCCTTTTTGCCCTTGGGGGAGGATTACCATCTTGGTAGAAATAAAGCACAAAGGAAAAGGGAGTGAGGCCCGGAATCAAAACGGAGAGAAAGAAGATCAGATTGAGTGGAGATCTCGAGTAGGTAGGAGGGAACAGAGAGGTGTTCCTACAAGTGAAGTGATCTGAGACGAAGCGATCCAGAGAAAAAAAGGAAGGACTGTAGACGAAAAGTCTACAAGTGAGAGGTAATCAAAGACAACTCAATCGGAAAGACAAAGACTGTAGACGAAAGGTCTACAAATAAGAAGTAACCTAATAATAAAAGTGCAGAGAGAGAGAGAGATCATCGAGGGAAGGCCTCTTAGTCCGAAGTGTTCTCCAACCAAGGGCTCATCAAAATCCAAACCCGGGTATTTCTACTTCTTTACTTGTCTATCTCTATATCCTATATTCTTTCATCTTTAGTTATAAGTTAGTGTAAGTTAGCATAAGTTAGTTTAAGTAATTTTGGTCTTCGTCATATTTTTGTCGCGTGGTTAACAGATAACTGTTTTCGAGGTGTACCATTGAGCGCCTGCGTACGTATAAAATTAAAAAAAATTGTAAAGTTGGGATCCAATAAACGAACCTGGTCAGTGAGAAAAATAATACTTTGTGTTGAGACTCTTGTTTTTGTACCATTTCACTCGCGGGATCGTGTACTTCTCACTCCGAATTACTACAATGGCGTCCGCGACAGGATCCCAACTGTAACAAAGGCAAGTTGTCGTATATCTTTTTCATTGTAATACCCAATTATAATCTCAGCTTATCTTATTTGTGTATATACGTATTGTAATGGCAACGAACAACTAAGTGGGGAGCTCGAATTCTGGTGAAGATTTCAGTCCGAACCCACCGTTAGTAGTTACAGGATTCCTGGGCATGATCCCTATATTTTCTGGAATGCAGGGTGATACGGTCAATATTAAGCAGTTTTTCATGACAATAGAGCATATAGCTAAATTAGCAGGATGGAATGATGAGGTCAAGGTAGAGGTACTACAGTCGCGGTTAAAAGGTGAACCGTTAGCCACATTCTTATGCTTAGCAGAGCAATACCCTGGAAGATAATACCCTGGAGGAGGTAAAACGCGATTTAATAAAATGTTTTGGGAAGAGAGTGGCTGCAGAAAGGGACTTCGTAGATAAGCTATTGAGTTTGAAGCAAGGGCATAGCGAGTCTGTAACGGACTTCTCGGTCCGTACAAAGACGTTACTGACACGGGCTACCAAGGAAAATCATAAAATTTAAGTACACTGCGCGACGATATAATCCTGGAGCGATTTATAAAGGGGTTGAGGGGGAGCCTTAAGGCTAGCGTACTAAGAAGAGAGCCAAAAACACTAAAAGAAGCATTTGAGGTAGCGGAGAAAGAAGAAGAAATAGCTATAGAGTGTGGCGGCAAGTTCGAACAAAGAGGGGTAAACGTGAACGTTGGGGAACAGAATGCCGTGGGTGCCGAGAAAGGGGAAGATCTAAAAAGTCGAGATGATAAAAATGAGGAAAAATTTAAGGGATTGGAAAAGAAAATCGATTTATTGGCAGAAGCGATGGACAAGGTGTTGGATAAAGGGAATCAGGACAGGAGGGTGAGTGATAAAGTATGTTACGTCTGTGGTGAGGCTAGCCACTTCGCCCGCAACTGCCCAAAACACAAATGGAATCAGTTAAACTAATAAAGGAGTGCCATACAGGCCGGCATGGTGCTCCTTGTATAAGAATTAAGCTGACCGACCAAGTCTTTAGTCAAAAAAGGGTCTTCTACTAATTAATGGTGAAATTGAGGGTACTAAACTATGTTTTCTCATAGATACGGGGGCCGAAAAGTCAATCCTGAGTTCTACGGTAATGAAACGCATCCCCGGACAAGGTATAGCTGAGGCAACTATTGAGGGTGAAATTTTAGGGATACGTGGCATAAATGGCGAAGTAACGGAATGTGAGAGAGCCTTGTGCGCTGAGATAGGATATAGAGATCAGGTATCCAAAGTAACCTTAGCATGCATGCAGCTTCCTGGACACACAGATTACGATGGCATCTTGGGAATGGATATACTCGGGAGAATGTATGAAATAATTAGTGAAGTGGGAAGGACAATGGAAGAAAGCGCAATTAGTAATGGGGGAAGTAAAAGCGTGTACGACGAAAACGCAAATGATACTGTGGTAGCGATTAAGGGGTTGGAAGGTTTGAGTGATAAGGAGAAAGAGCGAGTCAGTAATATATTTCAGAAGCACCCTGGATGTTTCGCGTGCTCAATTGAAGAGTTAACTGGAATGACTGGTGAGTCCCATAAGCCAATAATAGACCAAACTAAGCCGATAAACACACGGCAATACCGTATCCCTGAGTGTCACCTATCCGGCTTAAAGGTGCTGACCAATGCGTATTTGGCAGCTGGTATAATCGAGGAGAGCTCGTCAGCTTGGAACTCTCCAATCCACATAGTGGAGAAAAGTAATGGTGAAATCAGAATGACCCTAGACCTTCGGCAAATCAACAACCTGACTGCAGCTCAAGAATTTCCCATCGCATGCGTCGACGAGATAATGAGCAAGTTCCACGGAAGTAAGTATTTTTCCGTGCTTGATTTGAAATCCGGTACTTCCAAATCAATTTAGACCACTCTATAAGACACGTATATGCGTTCTTGACCCCCTGGGGGAAATACCAAATGTGTCGCCTTTCCCAAGGTGCTAAGAATAGCGGCCGCTTCTTTCAAGCTGTAATGTCAAGGGTGCTGGCCCGCTTTGTGGGAATTAATTGTTACGTTTTTCAGGATGATATAGTCCTTTTCTCAAAGTCGCTTGAGGACCACATCATATTACTAGATGAGGTGATAGGCACCTTAAATAAAGTCAACCTGAAACTACATCCTGAAAAGAGCTCCTTCATTGTTAAGGAAGTTAAGTATTTAGGTCATGTGATAAATCAAAGCGGCATTCGTCCAGAGATAGAAAACATATGCGCAATTATTGATATGAAACTCCCAAGGAACGTAAGGGAAGTACGTGGTTTTCTAGGGATGGTGGGTTTTTTTAGAGGTTTCGTGCCTAATTTCTCCACTATCGCGTTACCTCTAACTAATTTAACGAAAAAACATAGTAAGTTTGTTTGGGACGAAACCTGCCGGAAAAGCTTTGAGGAGTTCAAAAACATTTTAGCTAGACCTCCTCTATTAAAACACCCTAATTTTCAATCCCCCTTTCAGTTGTTCACCGACGCGTCGGACAGTTGCGCAGGCACAGTATTGTGTCAAAAGGAGGGTGAGAAACTGTACCCTGTAGGCTATTTCAGTCGGAAATTTAATGGCGCTGAGAAGAACTATTCTACCATCGAAAAAGAATGCCTAGCTATAATCCTGTCTCTGCGCCATTTTAAGCCAATAGTGTTAGGGCACCAAATCGATCTTTTAACTGACCACAAACCCCTCATTTTCATTGGTAACATGAGGAACCACAATAGGAGATTAATGAGGTGGTCAGCTGAGATAGCAGACTATAATGTTCAAATAAGTCACATAAAAGGGAAGCGCAACGAGGTGGCTGATACTTTATCACGAATAAACGTTAATAGCAATGGGGTCGAGGAGGTGAATAACGATGTGAAAGCGAATAAAGAACTCTGGGGTAAAGTAGTTGAATCACAAGGTGATGATGAGTTCTTAAGAAAGATGAGGGAAAGACTTAAGGGTCATAACCGGAATGAAGACATCAGGGGGATCCAGCCGGAATTTCATTTGGAAGGGGGCGTGATGATGCATACTAAACCAGGCAAGATGGGGCTGAGAAAGTGGGTCCGTGTGTGTGTGGGCAAGGGGATGGTTGATCGAGTGATCTGGGAGTTTCATAATTCCCCCTTATCGGGACACTTGGGAGTCGAAAAAACGTGTAACCTCATCGATAGGTATTACTATATTAAGAATCTGAAGAGTCGTGTAAAAGGTTTAATCAAGCAATGTAGGACTTGTCAACAGCACAACTTGCATAGGGGTCGTGCACCCTTCCAGGAAACAGAGACTTCCGAGTTCCCTTTCCAGAAGGTTGCAATGGATATTATTGGCCCGCTGCAGACGACTTCTAAGGGTAACAAGTATATCCTTATCATGGTCGATATATATACGCGATATGCCGAAGCAGTCCCGATACCAGACCAATCCGCACAGCGAGTCGATGATAGCTTCTTTTATCACATTGTATGTAGGTATGGTTGCCCTGATGTCATAGTATCAGACAGAGGGACCAACTTCACGTCAAGCATCTTTCGGGAAATGTGTAACGAGCTAGCCATCAAACATAATATCACGACCGCGTACCGCCCTTGCGCAAACTCCGTTTGTGAACGTCTGAATAAGACCCTATGGAAGACTATTGCAAAGATATCGGATGGGGATAACCGGAAATGGGATGAGTTCATTAGTCCTGCTCTGTTTGGATATAACAATTCTGCTCACTCTGCTACCCACGAATCCCCTGCATTCCTATTATATGGTCTTGACCCACGATTCCCAAGTGCCTTCCCAGACGAAGATATTGAGGGGGTACATAACACTGATCGGGGATGCAATTTCTTCAATAAATTAAATATAATCAGGAGAGTTGCATATGAATTAGGAAGGCAACGTAACCTAGAAAACAGGGGGAGAGAAAACAAGGGTAGAAAGGAGAAATTATGGGAAGAAGGGCAGCGGGTATGGTTACTTCGGAAAGGGAGGAGAAAGAGCACCGGGAAGTTTTCTCCAAAGTACTTGGGCCCATATAGAATAGTATGAGTGTTGGGTCCTGTAACTGTTGAACTTAGCAGCAACCGTAAAGATGAGAAATGGGTAGTACACACAGACCGGGTCAAACCATGTTACGCTCCAATATATAAAGAGGGTAAGAGGAGGAGGAATCCCCTGTATACGAAGAGGAGAGAGTCACCCGCAAGAGATGAGGAAGAAGAGGAAGATCCTACTGATTATATCCGGACATGGTTACCCAGGAGAAGACCCATACTAAATTCACCCACACAGGATGCGGGAGAAATCGAGAACGAAGGTGCCAGTGAAAGATGTACCGAGGATGATAAAGGGAAAATGCCGCAACACCCCTATAATACTCGGAAATGTAAAGTCAACTACCGTAGATTACACTACGGAGTATGACTCTTGGGGGGGGCATATGTGGCCGTCAGCCATGATATGTTATATTTCCTATATTTTATGTTGTATTAGTATTAGAGTTTCCTTTCTCTTTGTCTAAAACCGTCTAGAACTTTCTTTTCTCTAAACCTTCCTATAACTTTCTTTGTCTGAACCCCTTTTTGCCCTTGGGGGAGGATTACCATCTTCGTAGAAATAAAGCACAAAGGAAAAGGGAGTGAGGCCCGGAAGCAAAACGGAGAGAAAGAAGATCAGATTGAGTGGAGATCTCGAGTAGGTAGGAGGGAACAGAGAGGTGCTCCTACAAGTGAAGTGATCTGAGACGAAGCGATCCAGAGAAAAAAAGGAAGGACTGTAGACGAAAAGTCTACAAGTGAGAGGTAATCAAAGACAACTCAATCGGAAAGACAAAGACTGTAGACGAAAGGTCTACAAATAAGAAGTGACCTAATAATAAAAGTGCAGAGAGAGAGAGATCATCGAGGGAAGGCCTCTTAGTCCGAAGTGTTCTCCAACCAAGGGCTCATCAAAATCCAAACCCGGGTATTTCTACTTCTTTACTTGTCTATCTCTATATCCTATATTCTTTCATCTTTAGTTATAAGTTAGTGTAAGTTAGCGTAAGTTAGTTTAAGTAATTTTGGTCTTCGTCATATTTTTGTCGTGTGGTTAACAGATAACTGATTTCGAGGTGTACCATTGAGCGCCTGTGTACGTATAAAATTCAAAAAAAATTGTAAAGTTGGGATCCAATAAACAAACCTGGTCAGTGAGAAAAATAATACTTTGTGTTGAGACTCTTGTTTTTGTACCATTTCGCTCACGGGATCGTGTACTTCTCACTCCGAATTACTACAATACTAAGTACTTTCTAGGAAAACAAAACAGCTTTGTGGTATAGAAAACTAAAACTGTATGAAAAGAAGGATTTAAAACTAATCTCCAAACGTACGCCGTCCATCGGGCTAGTTTTAAGGCTAATTACTATATTAATTACATAACGAATTTGGTACTAGAATTTGGTACCTCTAGTACCAAATTCGTTATGTAATTAATATAGTAATTAGCCTTAAAACTAGCCCGATGGATTTACGGCGTACGTTTGGAGATTAGCTATTACATCGGGTTTAGCGATGATTGTGGATTTAAAACTGATTTAAATCTAAAATAAAAAATTGTTGTAGAGATCAATGTAAATTAACAGCAATTAGAAACTTGATTAATATGTAGTGCATGATCAGCTTACAACCCAGCAATCAGCCCATAGATTTTACATGACAAACTTTGACCTTGAATATCTCACCCATAGATCAAATTTCAGAATACCTGCTTTGTCACAAAATTGGCCTTGCCGAGTTGTACAGTACATATTTGAGAAAAATTGTGTTTAGTGGTCATGTGGTTGCTTTAAACTTTGATCACAGACAAAACACTGACTTATGCACAGCATCACTCAATTACTAAATTCTTTAATGTTCTTAATGACAATTACTGCAAAAATAATTGATGTGATCAAAATGTACACAATTATGTAATCTTGCTTACCATTATTTCATCAAAGCTTTTAAATTGTAAAGTCGCATATTTATCAATAGGTGGTCTAAGATACGTACAATAATCACTCTGTTTTACTTGTTCGAGTTGTCTTGAACAACACACATAAGCCAAACGTGACTGTATTTCTTGAAAATTTGGTACCTGTAAAATTAAAATTTATTGTCATTAAAGCATAAAGAACATATTCATTTTAATTGTTTTTATTAATAAAAAAAAATCTACATTTCAAATTTAAATTTGATGTTTTATATGATAATTGTTAAGCTACTGAGAAATATTTAAGTCCCTTATATTCACCATGCTATATTATTATTATTATGTTGGGTTTAGCGAGTTATACTCGGTTGACACAGGTTGCTGTGTACTATACCAGACCAGAGACAAGGGAAAACAAGACAAAAATTAACTAAGTGTGTCAGTGTGTGTGTCTGTATTCAGGAATTTCCTAACAATATGGCATGTATTTTATTATTATTATAATCATCATATAATGGACTAATAATAAATTTTGTAAGTTACAAGGCAAAACTTAGTTTTTAGAACCAGCCTGGCAAAGTTTTCTACCACCCCTATTCTGGGTTTTAAAAAATTTCTAGTCAGTTTTCCCACTAACCCAAAGAAAGATAAATACATTAATAAGATACTAAAGGAGAACTGTCATTTTCATTTATTCTTTTTCAATAAAGCATACTATGCATTTATGCATAGTATGTTTTATTAAAAAAAGTGCAAATACTTGTTGATTGGATAAAAGTAAAGAAACGAGCGTAGAAAATGATAACTCTACTGCTGCTGAAATTACACCATCTCAGCCTGTAAAATCCACAACAAAGAAATCAGCAAAGTCTGGTGAAGAGGTAAGCTTTCTAGAATGTATCAGGCAGCAAATATTTTAAATTTTGAAGTGTTCTGTAATTTTACAATTTATTTTTTCATACTTACATAGAATAATTCAGTTTAGTTGTTTAATTAAATAANAAAAAATCACGCAACTTTCAGTCCAGAATTCTATATGGTTAATCAACCCTTAAACTTTCCATGTCTAGTCTGGATTTTAGTGGTGTCTTGCCCTTGTACAGTACATCATACTTCTCCTGATAACAATCAAGTTATGCCAGTTATCTAACTTCATTCTCAAAAAAATTTTGAATTGAAATCACAACTTCTGGTCCAGACTGGAAGTTCCTGTAAAGTTTTCCACAGAATTAGTTAGACGAAAATTGAGACCAGGTCTGGTCTCAATTTTCGTCTAACTAATTCCGTTTGTGAGATTAACAAAACACAGACACAATCAATCAGACAGACGACAGTGGGAATGTATAGGTCTACAATTTGAAAACTGCAGCCTAAAAAGTTTAGAACAAATACTACTTGATAATAATTAAATATACAGGATAGTTCCAAACTAGTGGGACAAACTTTGAGAGTGGATTCATGGCAGGATAAAAAAAATATTCCTATTAACATAATCTGAAAATGCACTGGTGCCAACATAAATCTACTGTGTTTGTTTGACAGTATCTAGACACAATTTTCCACAGCATATGGATTAGTTGGGGAGACCTGTTGCATGGTTTGCCTGGTGCCAAATTTTACTCAATTCCATCTGAAAAGTGTCATGTACTCTGGGTCAGTTCCTGAAGTACAGGTATTGGAGCAATGTGCGGCATCATCTGTAATGCTGTTTGGATACACAGCAGAACATTTCGACTGCTCAGAACAAGAGAGTTACAACTCAAAAATATAGATTTTTCAGGAGAGCCATTTGAAGTTTTCAATTCCAGCTGATAAATCAGGGAATTGTTTAAAATCAATGGAATTTGGTTTGAATGTTAATTATAGTCATTACATTGAGTTGGAATAATAATATTATTTAAATGTATTTTCTCTGTTATATTATTACATATTTTTTGAGTTGCAACAGTTTTGCATTCAAAATGTCATTATTGTTTTCTCAGTTACAACTGTTTGCCATTCTTTTTTACTTAGAACAGCTGTTTGCCATTACATAATAATATACATTTTATATAAAGTTACAGTATTTATTTTAACAGAACAGAAAAATGTAATGTTACATTCTGGTTTTATGAGACCCATGTTGTTCAAACATGACAAACAATAAAAACAAAAGTAAGAAAGTTCACAAAAAATTAACACAGCCATTAAAAAAGTATCACTAATTGTGCTATGGTTTTATCAAGCAAATTAGAGATCAGTCTTTTTCAACACTACTGGAAACTTTCAGAGAATTATAAAATGATGCATGCACGCTTGGAATGACACCACTTTTACACAAGTCCAGCAAATCTTTCTTCTTTCCAGCATCTATCCCTGGTGGTAAAGAATAAGCTGGGTGCAGCATGACTTTGGCAGATCTACCTCTCATTCTTTGTCGAATGTTTAACTTTTCAAAATCCTCTTGCGCATATGAGTGCTTGTAGAAGATGGTATAAGGATCTTGTTTCATGACCTTAATGATCTTAATATTGGGCCAATTCACTAAATTATTATTTTCATTTTTGGAGAAATTGTTTCCCATTTGTTGTGATAAGTCTTTCAAATTGAAGATATCTGCTGTATCTAGTTCAGTCACATTATAAACGCTGCCTTTTTTCTTGGCTAATTTCAGTACTGGTACCCATTGAGCAGGTAGTGTTATTGTCCCACCTTTAACAACTCCTCGTTTTTCACGCTCAATGGTGGAATGCATTGAATCATTCTCATTCTGTGTGTGCCCTTGAATGAAAAATTTGTGAGTAATAGTGTTAATATGGTCTATATTATTTACACAGTATAAAAGTAATGAAGCAATGAATTTATTCTTGTTCTGCCCTGCACAATTATCTGAAAACAAAACTACTTCTTTAACTGTATTGGGCACTGAAGTAATGAACTTATAGAGGCATATTCCAATTTCATTTGAACCTCGTTTGGCCAAGCCTTCATGCCAAAAATAACAGTGGCCCTTACTGTTTGAAATATCATAAATTGTAAAGTTGTAACATGAGAGTTTCCTTTTGTAGTATAAGGAAGACCACTCACCACAATGTGAAGGGAGAACTGCTTGGAGATCAAAGTAGCAAGCAATTTTATTTGTATCCTGTTTTGCTGCTTCAATGTCCTTAGTCTTTTCAGCTCTTGACATTTCTTTTTCTTTTATATGTGTGTTATAATTGTCCTGCAATTGTAATTTCTCTGTATCTGTACTGTTCTTGTATCCAGTTCATATACAACACTGATCTTTTTTCGGCTGATGAAATGAAAGATTAAGTAAATGAAATACCGTTGATTAAATGTGTTTTTTAGCAAGTGGTAATTATTTTTCTCTGAAATAGTCTGTGTATAGCCGATACATTTCACTAATGTTTAAGCTGCCATCTAAAAACTGTTTAGTTGAATTTCTTCTACAATAGTGTGATTCAACATATTCAAAAGACAGTATGTGCTCTTTCACATTCTTTAGTATTTCCTCATCAGTTTTCTTTCTGCTTTCATGTTTTTCCCAGAAGTCATCTTCTATTATTCCATCAGTGGTCTTTGGGTTATATAGATAGATAGATTTACAATGCAAAAGGAGTTCCACTTTATATGCAACTTTCTTTCACCAAGAATGCAATTAATTGAAAGCTGAAAACTGTTACAACTCAAAATGTAACCCTCTTGAATTCAATAACAGAGTGTATTAGCATATTGCAAAACTGTTATATGTACATCCCAGAGCCATAATAAGCCATTTAGAGATATA